CTTGACTTCAGCATAGCCTTCCTACAGGGCAGCCTGCACGATGAGATCTGGCTGCGCCGCCCACCTGGCTTCACTGGGTCGTTTCCTACTGGTACCCAGTGGAGCCTCCGGCGGCCAGTCTAAGGTCTCCGCCAGGCGCCCCGTGAGTGGCACGACACGCTCAGGACGACTCTTGCTGCTCTTGGTTTTGCTCCTTCCACTGCTGACCCTTCTCTGTTTCTACGCACTGACGCTACTCTGCCGCCGTTCTACGTTCTTGTGTACGTAGACGACCTTGTCTTTGCTACTGCTGACACGGAGGCACTCGCCCACGTGAAGTCCGAGCTGCAGAAGAGACACACGTGCACAGACCTGGGTGAGCTCACAAGCTATCTTGGCTTGCGGATCACCCGGGACAGAGCACAGCGCACCATTACCTTGACTCAGTCACACATGGTGCAGCAGGTCCTTCAGCGCTTCGGCTTCACCTACTCCTCGCCACAGTCCACTCCTCTGCCTACCGGTCACTCGCTCTCAGCTCCACCTTCGGACGAGTCCGTAGAGCCGAGTGGCCCGTATCCAGAGCTTGTGGGCTGCCTCGTGTACCTGATGACTTGCACACGACCTGACCTCGCATACCCTCTCAGCCTTCTGGCTCGCTACGTGGCTCCCGGCAGGCACCGAAAGGTGCACTGGGATGCTGCGAAGAGGGTGTTGCGATACTTGTGCAGTACATCGGGCATGGGGCTCGTGCTTGGAGGACGGGCTCGAGTTGTCCTCACTGGTCACGCTGACGCCTCCTGGGTTGATGACTTGGCTACGCAGTGGTCTTCACAGGGTTACACCTTCAGCCTTGGATCCGGTTCTGTCTCCTGGCGGTCTACCAGCTCTTCTTCTGTTCTCAGCTCCAGTTGTGAGGCTGAGATCTACGCTGGGGCCATGGCTGCACAGGAGCTTCGCTGGCTCACCTACCTGCTGACCGACTTGGGAGAGGCGCCTCGTTCTCCTCCAGTTCTGTACGTCGACAACAAGGCCATGCTGGCCTTGTGTCAGGAGCACAGACTGGAGCACAAAACGAAGCACATTGCTCTGCGCTACTTCCTTGCTCGAGAGTTGCAGCAGCGTGGCCAGCTTCGTCTTGCTTACGTGGCGTCTCAGGCCAACACTGCTGATGTTTTTACCAAGGCACTTCAGCCTTGTGATCATCAGCGTTTCTGTACTGTGTTAGGCCTTGTACCTACTGTGCCTCACTTGTTGACTTCTTGACTCTGCTTGTACTGTACTCTATATACTTATACCTGCATGCTTACACTTGCTAGGTTGTGTTCACTGTACTGTTTACTTTCCTTTATATAACTCTGCATGTGAACTGGCCTTCTGGCCCTTTGCTTGTGCTCAGACTGTGTGGTGACTTTGTGATCCACCCTGAGTTTGCTTTGTCTTTCTTGACTGGTCTTGTGACCCCTTGTTCTCCCCCACTTTGCCTATGGGGGTGTGTCAAACATATATTTACTATAGTCTGTCTAGGCTGTAGTGGGGTAGTCCTTAGAGGGTACAACACTTATGTGTTTCCTATTTGTACCCTTCTCATTTCGTAATTCAATCATTCTTTCGTCTCTTCTTTCACAGCACCAACGTCCGCAGGAACAGAGACGTCTGCAGCAGCAGCAGAGGCGAAGGAGGAGGATTGGGGGGAGGGGGAGCACTCCTCGAAGAAGGGTGAGCGCGGAGTGCCACGAGCAGCACCTACAGCAACTGCACTAGTCTCAGCCGCGAGGAGATGCTGCTCGAGGAGGTCAACAGTGAGGGAGGTGGGGTCGAGGGTGAGGAAGTGGTCTCTGATAGAGCGAAAGGAGTCAGGGAGGCGAGTGACTATGAAGTAGAGGGTGATGAACATGGGGGGCTGGTTCGTGGGAAGGAACTCAGCAGGGACGGCAGCGCGGTAGCGAGCGTCGCTAGTGCGCAGGTGGGTAACCAGGTCCGCTACTGTGGCAAAAGCCGACAGCTCAGGGAACAGGTAGGGCAGTAGCAGCCTGCCAATAGCAGTGGCAGGGGAGGAGTAGCGAGCAACGACAGCGTCGTACAGGGCCTGTGCTGTCCTGTGCTCTCCAAAGTGAGCACATTTGGTCTCGGGCAGGTGGTTGCGAATGGCTAAGCGGGCGGTAGCGTCACGAGACAGCCACTGGGAACGAGTCGAAATGTCAGCTGTGGCGGGAGGGGCTGGAGCGACACCGGACACGTGGTCAAACAGTGAGACACTGTCCTTAAGATTGCTCAGTAGGTACAGTTGCAGATTGCCGTGCCACGTGTCAAATGCTACAGGTCTGCCCTCCGGGTCGAACGAGAGAACTCTAAGCGACGCCATATTGGCACAGGACTCAGGAGCAGCAGTAGCAGTAGGAGCAGCAATAGCAGGAGCTAAGGGGCCAAGGGGCGGGGCCGAGGGGCCTAGGGGCCGAGGGGCCAAACAAGGGGGGGGGGGGGGGGGGGGGAAGGGGCCGAGGGGCCTAGGGGGCCGAGAGGCCTAGGGGGCCGAGGGGCCAAACAAGAGGGCCGAGGGGGGGGGGCGAGGGGCCTAGGTGGCCGAGAGGCCTAGGGGGCCGAGGGGCCAAGAGGCTTAGGTGGTTGAGAGGCCTAGGGGGCCGAGGGGCCAAACATGAGGGCCAAGGGGCGAGGGGCGGGGCCAAGGGGCCAAACAAGGGGCCGGGCGCGGGCTAGGTACGGGACTGGGCGCTGGGCTTTGAACTGGGGCCGAGGGGCCTAGGGGGCCAAGGGGCCAAACACAAGGGCCGAGTAGGCCGAGCCTAGGGGCCGAGGCTAGGGGCCAAGGGGCCGAGGGGCGGGGTCAAGGGGCCAAACAAGGGGGGGGGGCGGGCGCGGGCTAGGTACGGGGCCAGGCGCTGGGCAGGAATGGGGCTGGGCGCTGGGCTCTGAACTGAGGCCGAGGGGCCAAACAAGGGGCCGGGCGCGGGTGTTGGCGGGCCGGGGCTAGGTACGGGGCCAGGCGCTGGCTAGGTACGGGGCCGGGCGCTGGGAGAAGGACGGGGCCGGGCGCGAGCGTCGACGGGCGCGGGCTAGGGAAGGGGCCGGGCGCGGGGCTAGGTACGGGGCCGGGCGCTGGGCTAGGAACGGGGCCGAGCGCGGGCTAGGTACGGGGCCGGGCGCGGGTGTCGACAGGGTGCGGGCTAGGTACGGGGCCGGGCACGGGTGTCGACAGTGCGCGGGCTAGGTACGGGGCCGGGTCGCGGGCTAGGTACGGACCGGTCGCGGGCGTCGACGGGTGCGGGCTAGGTACGGGGCCGGGCGCGGGTGTCGACGAGGCGATCGCGGGCTAGGTACGGCCCGGGTCGCGGGCTAGGTACGGGCCGGTCGCGGGCGTCGACGGGGCGCGGGCTAGGTACGGGGCCGGGCGCGGGTATCGACGGAGCAATCGTGGGCTAGGTACGGGCCGGGCTCGGGCGTGAGACAGGGCCGAGCGCAGGCTAGGTACGGGCCTATCGCGGGCTAGGTACGGGCCAGGCACGGGCAAGAGACTGGGCCGAGCACGGGCTAGGTACGGGCCTATCGCGGGCGAGGTACAGGCTGGGCGCAGGGTTAGGAACGAGGTAGTCGCAGTGAAGCAGGTGGTGGGCCCAAAAGGAACCTACTCTGATTCCATGTGAGAATAACAAACGAGAATGAATGAACTAGCAAACAGTTGGGTACAAGTACTAACCCGAATTGGGTTGTACCCCTTATGGGCCCAAATGTATAAGCTATAATGTTCTGACACTCCGCCCCTCCCACGGCCATACCCTCGGCCGATGCTTGCTGCCTCGGCGCCATCCGCACTCACCAACTCACGGCGGCGGAATTCCTCTTAAAGGATCGCTCGCTTCACCTCTTCAAGCAAGAGGCGGGGCAAGTCACGATTGAGGTTGATGATGAGCGAGGACCATGACTCTAGGAGTAAGTCCAGAAACTTGGTCTTCTTTTGGAGCTCACTGTAGTTCAAATCAGCTCCCTCAAGTCGTGTCAACAAGTCGAAGAATTTTGTGAGAATGATAGACGAAAGAATGGATGAACTAGGAATGAGATGGGTACAAATAGGAAACACATAAGTGTTGTACCCTCTAAGTGCTACCCCACTACAGCCTAAATAGACCATAGCAGATATACCCCCATAGGCAAAGTGGGGGAGAACAAGAGGTCACAAGACCAGTCAAGAAAAGCAAAGCAAGCTCAGGGTGGATCACAAAGTCACCACACAGTCTGAGCACAAGCAAAGGGCCATAAGGCCAGTTCACATGCAGAGTTATATAAAAGAAAGCAAACAGTACAGTGAACACAACCTAACAAGTGTAAGCATGCAGGTATAAGTATATAGAGTACAGTACAAGCAGAGTCAAGAAGTCAACAAGTGAGGCACAGTAGGTACAAGGCCTAACACAGTACAGAAATGCTGATGATCACAAGGCTGAAATGCCTTGGTGAAAACATCAGCAGTGTTGGCCTGAGAGGCCACGTACGCAAGACGAAGCTGGCCACGCTGCTGCAACTCTCGAGCAAGGAAGTAGCGCAGAGCAATGTGCTTCGTTCTGTGCTCCAGTCTGTGCTCTTGACACAAGGCCAGCATGGCCTTGTTGTCCACGTACAGAACTGGAGGAGAACGAGGCGCCTCTCCCAAGTCGGTCAGCAGGTAGGTGAGCCAGCGAAGCTCCTGTGCAGCCATGGCCCCAGCGTAGATCTCAGCCTCACAACTGGAGCTGAGAACAGAAGAAGAGCGGGTAGACCGCCAGGAGACAGAACCAGAGCCAAGACTGAAGGTGTAACCCTGTGACGACCGCTGCGTAGCCAAGTCGTCAACCCAGGAGGCGTCAGCGTGACCAGTGAGGACAACTTGAGCCCGTCCTCCAAGCACGAGCCCCATGCCCGATGTACTGCACAAGTATCGCAACACCCTCTTCGCAGCATCCCAGTGCACCTTTCGGTGCCTGCCGGGAGCCACGTAGCGAGCCAGAAGGCTGAGAGGGTATGCGAGGTCAGGTCGTGTGCAAGTCATCAGGTACATGAGGCAGCCCACAAGCTCTGGATACGGGCCACTCGGCTCTACGGACTCGTCCGAAGGTGGAGCTGAGAGCGAGTGACCGGTAGGCAGAGGAGTGGACTGTGACGAGGAGTAGGTGAAGCCGAAGCTGCACCATGTGTGACTGAGTCAAGGTAATGGTGCGCTGTGCTCTGTCCCGGGTGATCCGCAAGCCAAGATAGCTTGTGAGCTCACCCAGGTCTGTGCACGTGTGTCTCTTCTGCAGCTCGGACTTCACGTGGGCGAGTGCCTCCGTGTCAGCAGTAGCAAAGACAAGGTCGTCTACGTACACAAGAACGTAGAACGGCGGCAGAGTAGCGTCAGTGCGTAGAAACAGAGAAGGGTCAGCAGTGGAAGGAGCAAACCCAAGAGCAGCAAGAGTCGTCCTGAGCGTGTCGTGCCACTCACGGGGCGCCTGGCGGAGACCGTAGACTAGCCGCCGGAGGCTCCACTGGGTACCAGCAGGAAACGACCCAGTGAAGCCAGGTGGGCGGCGCAGCCAGATCTCCTCGTGCAGGCTGCCCTGTAGGAAGGCTGTGCTGAAGTCAAGCGAGTGGAGCTCGTAGTCACGCTGAGCAGCAACGTGCAGCAGTACCCGAAGAGTGGTCATCTTCGGGGTAGGGGAGAAGGTCTGAAAGAAGTCAACTCCCTGTCGCTGACTGAAGCCACGTGCAACGTAACGCGCCTTGAAGGCAGGCGGAGAACCCGGCGGCCGCTTCACCCTGAAGATCCACATGCCACTGACGATGTTTGCCCCAGGTGGGGGAACCTCGTCTACGTAGGTGCCTGTGGACTTCCAGGAAGCCATCTCTGCATCCATGGCTGCCTGCCACTGAGAGGAGTAGGGACCCTCTATCGCCTCTGCGTAAGAGCGCGGGGTCGGGATGTCTAGTGCATCCGGGTCTCCCTCAGGGGCAAGCAGCATGGACACGAGATAAGGTGAAGCAGCAGCAAAACACTCAAGGTCCTCCTGTCTGTCCTCCAGGACGTTCGTGCCAAGAGCACACTCACCCCCGACAAACGGAGGACAGACAGACGCAGACGCAGACTCAGCAACAAGACTAGCGGCGTAGTCTAGGCGACAGGCTGCAGCAAAGTCAACAAGCTCAGCAACAAGAGCAGACGCAGTGGCCAGAAAGCGCATGACAGTAGGACTAGAAGCACGAAGGGAGTCAAACTCCGGGTCCGGACCATCAGGAAGAGAGGACGCAGGAGGAGAGGGCAGAGGGACACGCTGTGGAGCAGTAGAAGGACGCAGTGTCATAGAGTGAGTGCCTGGGACAGGAGGAAGACGCGGACGCGAAACACGACCAGCGCGAACAGGACGGACAGACGACGCAGAACGAGACTCAGGCGACACAGGACGAGACTCAGGCTCTCGACGCTCCGTAAGACCTCTAGTCGGACCGGAGTAAGGAAAAGGACCAGGCAGCGGAGAGGCCGCCTGCAACTGCGACTGGGACTGGACAGGCGGTGGACTCAGGAAAGGAGGAGGAGGACCAGGAGAAGGCGGGGAGCCAAGAACCTGCTGAAGGAGTGGAACGTAGTACGGCCGCGGCCGCGCAGCGCCTCCAGAGACAGCAGAGACAGAACCGGTACCCTCAGCCCCAGGGCCTCCAGTCCCAGCAGCACCTCCAGCAGCTCCAGCAGCACCTCCAGCAGCACCAGCACCTGTAGCACCTCCAGCAGCTCCAGCACCAGCACCACCTCCAGCAGCGCCAGCACCTCCAGTAGCTCCAGTAGCACCTCCAGTACCTCCAGCAGCACCAGCACCAGTAGCACCTCCAGCAGCTCCAGCACCAGCAGCACCTCCAGCAGCTCCAGCACCAGCAGCACCCCCAGCAGCTCCAGCACCTCCAGTAGCTCCAGTAGCACCTCCAGCACCTCCAGCAGCCCCAGCACCAGCAGCACCAGCAGCAACCCGACCGCGCCGAGAGTACCACTCACGAAGGCGCTATGGAGAGAGAGGCTCCCGCCGCGACGGGACACCTAGAGCACCTCCAGACGCAGCACGCGCAGGCTCAGTACCTCCAGACACAGTACCCTCAGGCTCCACTCTCGGAGGCTCAGCACGCCCAGTCTCAGCACCCCCAGACTCAGCACCCCCAGTCTCAGCACCCCCAGACTCAGCACCCCTAGCAGTACCTGAGGCGACCGCTACCTCGACCGGCTCGGCAGGGTCTACCTGGGACACACCTGAGGGGGCAGGACCCTGGGGGGGGAGGGGGTCTACCAAGGGAGTACCTGGTGCCAGGAAGAGGGGCGGGGGGGGGAGAGAGGCAGTGCGGTAGGGAAAGAGACGGTAGTACGACACCGACTCGTCGAACGTGACGTCCTGAGAGGACAGAACACGACGCGAGGTTGGGTGGTAGAACTGCCACCCGGGTGCGTGAGGAGGGAAGCCAAGGAAGACACAGGGAACGGCACGGGAGGACAGCTTGTCCGCTGTAGTATCGCGGACAAAAGCTCGAGATCCCCAGACACGGAACGTGGACGCATCGCCAACCTTCCCCGTCCACCGCAGAGTAGGTGTTGTCTCCGGCAAGGAGACACGAGGCTGAAGGTTGATCTGATGCGCAGCGTACTGAACCGAGAACGGCCACAGAAAGTGGGGAGCAGCCGCATGAGCGACATCCATGACCATGCCAATGCGGCGCTCAGCAATCCCATTTTGCTGCGGGGAGGCCGGAAGCGTGAACGTCTGGCGGATGCCCTCCAAACGACAGAAGGCTCTCAGAAGGTCGGAGGAAAACTCCCCGCCTCTGTCTGAGTGCAGACGCAAAACAGGAAGGTCGGAGCCGAATCTCTCACTAAGCTGGCGACGAGCACCGCGGATCCAGTCGATCAACACCTCAGTGACCTCACCCTTGCTGCGCAAGGGGAAGACTGTGGTGTAACGCGAGTAGTCGTCAACGACCAGCATGAAGTAACGCTCGTGACCCTTTCCACGAACACGGGCTGGGCCCCACACGTCCATGTGAAGAGTCTGCAGAGGGGCCTCAGTCAGAGGAAACGAGGAGGAGTGAGGAGCGGCGCGCTGCCGGCCCTCGACACTAGGAACACAGGTGGGGGCAGGCCCCGGAGGAAGGGGAGGGAGGGACCTGGGGAGGCCAGAGACAAGAGCACGGGAGGCCATACCTCGAAGACGAGGCAGGGAGGGGTGACCAAGGCGGTGGTGCCAAAGGAGAGTCTCGTGCACCAGAGGACGACACGAGCAGGGGGCAGACGCAGGACTAGACCTCGACGCAGCAGCAAACACCTGACTGGACGCAGCTACCTGACCAGACGCAGGGACCGGAGGAGGCGCAGTAGTCAGTGTGTACAGACTCGACCCTGGCCGACGGGTGAACGTGGCCAGGTGGCGGCCCGTCCGAGAGCAAGTGCAGTGGGTCACACGCTGACCTCCAGGGGTGAACTGGTCAACCCACGCGTCCTGGAGGTCAGCTCTACTCACCAAGTTTGTAGAGAACGAGGGGAGGTGGAGTCCCGACAGCAAGCCCGACGGGGCCGCAGGACACGGTAGAACCGTGGAGGAGTGTGCAAGGACTGGGCCCCCGGAGGGGTCAGCAAGGGAGACCGCAACAGGCCGACTGAGCGGCGTGAGCTTGGTGCTGTCTCTAAAGAAAGAGCGCGAAGCACCAGAGTCAAGTGTGAAGGTGTGAAAGGACTCAGTAGGTGCAGTACCAGAGAGAGGAGACGTACCAGCACCTGGAGCAGCAGACGCACTAGCACCTAGAGCAGCAGCCGCACTAGCACCTAGAGCAGCAGCCATTGTGCCCGGGTCGGGCGGGACACGCGGGTAACAGTCACCCTCAGTAATATCAGCAAAAGCATACATGGCAGCAAGGATAGCATCAAAGTCTAGGTCAAAGATAGGCACATTCTGCAGAAGCAGATCATGCCAACGAGGAAGCTCAACTGCGTCAGGAAACTGGGCACGCCAAGCGTCAGTCAAGCGGCCGAAGCAGCGCTGCGTGGTGTGTGGGAGACCACACACCTCCCCACTCCGAGTGCCGGTGCGAAGAACGTAAGAGCAGGGACCCGCACCCCCAGACCTCCCATGCCCAGCGTACCACTCACGAAGCTGCTGAACCGACGGGGTCTCACGGGTGCGCTGCTGCTGCTGGCGCTGGCTGCCACCAAGGCCTCCACGCGGCGTAGCTGCACCGCGACCAGCACCACCTCCTCCGCTACCTCCACCACCGCTGCCGCCGCCTCCACCCCCTCCGCCACCGCCGCCACGGCCTCCACTGCCGCCACCGACTCCCCCACTCCCTGTACCACCCCCACCACCAACTCCACCTCCTCCACCGCCTCCACCGCTGCCCCCACCGCCCCCTCCACAACCCTTGCTTCCCTTGCCCTTGCCGGTGCGGCGTCGCCCACTAGAGGCAGACGCAGCGCCGACCTCCTCAGTGCCAACAAGGTCGACAGCAGCAGCAGAGGCAATAGAGGGGAGAAGGGGGACAGGGGAACACCCCTCAAAGAAGGGGGTGCGACGGTCGCCGCGAGAAGCACCTACAGCTAAGATACTCTTCTCAGCTGCAGCAAGGCGCTCCTCTAGCAAGTCGACAGTCAGCGCGGTGGGGCAAAGGGAGAGGAAGTGATCCCTGACTGAGGAGAGAGAGTCAGGGAGGCGGGTGACTAGGTAGTAAAGGGTGATGTACATGGGGGGGGAGTTCGTGGGAAGAAACTCAGTGGGAAGGGCAGCGCGGTAGCGAGCGTCACTAGTGCGGAGGTGAGCAACGAGGTCAGCAACTGTGGCAAAGGCGGCAAGGTCAGGAAAAAGGTACGGCAGCATGAGGCGGCTGAGGGCAGCAGTGGTAGGGGAGGAGTAGCGTGCAACTACAGCGTCGTACAGAGCCCTAGCACTCTTGTACTGACTAAAGTGCGCGCGCTCAGTAGACGGCAGGTGATTGCGCACAGCAAGACGAGCAGCAGCATCGCGCGTGAGCCACTGCGAGCGAACAGTACTGTCAGCATCAGCAGTAGGGGCAGTAGAGGCGCCAGACGTGAGATCGAACAGTGAGAAACCATCCTTGCTATCGCACTGTAGGAAAAGCTGCAGATCATCTAGCCAGACCTCAAAGTCAACAGCTCGACCCTCAGCATCAAAGGTAAGAACATTGAGACTAGCCATGACAGGAGAAGCAGTAGGCTAGCAGCAGCAGCAGTGCAACTCGGCTAAGCAGGCTAGGCAGGGCGGCGCAGCTTGGCAGGGCGGTGTGGCTCGGCAGCGCGGCGCTCTTACCAGGGGAGAGGCTGGGGCAGGGCCGGGGTAGGGCCGGGGCAGTTCAGGAGCAGGGCCGGGGCAGGGCCGGGGCAGGGCCGGGGCAGGGCCGGGGCAGAGCCGGGCCAGGGCCGGGGAAGTTCAGGGGCAGGGCCGGGGTAGGGCCGGGGCAGTTCAGGAGCAGGGCCGGGGCAGGGCCGGGGCAGAGCCGGGCCAGGGCCGGGGCAGTTCAGGAGCAGGGCCGGGGCAGGGCCGGGGCAGAGCCGGGGCAGGGCCGGGGCAGAGCCGGGCCAGGGCCGGGGCAGTTCAGGGGCAGGGCCGGGGCAGAGCCGGGGCAGGGCCGGTGCAGGGCCGGGGTAGGGTCGGAGCAGGGCCGGGGCAGGGCCGGGGCAGGGCCTGGGCAGGTCCGGGGCAGGGTCGGAGCAGGGCCGGGACAGGGTCGGGGCCGGGCCTAGACAGGGTCGGGGCGAGGGCCGGGGCAGGGCTGCAACAGAGCCGGCGCAGGGCCGCGACAGGTTGGGGTAGGGCCGGGGCAGGGCCGGACGGGGCCTAACGGGGCCTGACGGGGTCTGACGGGGCCACTAACGGGGCCTTACGGGGCCAAACGGGGCCTTAAACGGGGCCTGAAGGGGCCTTACGGGGCCTTAAACGGGGCCTGACGGGGCCTTACGGGGCCTGACGGGGCCTTACTGGGCCTTAAACGGGGCCATACGGGGCCTTACGGGGCCTTAAGGGGCCTTACGGGGCCTTAACGGGCCTTACGGGGCCTTACGGGGCCTTATGGGGCCTTAAACGGGGCCTTACGGGGCCTTAAACGGGGCCATACGGGGCCTTACGGGGCCTTAAGGGGCCTTACGGGGCCTTACGGGGCCTTAAACGGGGCCTTACGGGGCCTTAAACGGGGCCGTACGGGGCCGTAAACGGGGCCTTACGGGGCCTTACGGGGCCTTAAACGGGGCCTTACAGGGCCTTAAACGGGGCCTTACGGGGCCGTAAACGGGGTCCTACGGGGCCTTACGGGGCCTTACGGGGCCTTACGGGGCCTTAAACGGGGCCGTAAAAGGGGCCTTACGGGGCCTTACGGGACCTTACGGGGCCTTACGGGGCCTTAAACGGGGCCGTGAACGGGGCCTTAAGGTGCCTTACGGGGCCTAACGGGGCGGGCGCTGGCTCTAAGGGCAGGCGCAGGGGCCGCGATGGGCCTCGAAGGGAAGGCGCGACGCGTGCGTTTAGCAGGCAGTGAAGAATTTCAGTGGTGGGCACTTTTTAAACAATCTCGAAACTAGCTCTATACCATGTGAGAATGATAGACGAAAGAATGGATGAACTAGGAATGAGATGGGTACAAATAGGAAACACATAAGTGTTGTACCCTCTAAGAGCTACCCCACTACAGCCTAAATAGACCATAGCAGATATAAGTTTGACAAATTTCTGCACCCCTTCTTTGACCGCTTCGTCTTCTTGAATTCGTAGTGCCGCCATTTGCCGCTCCAACACCACCGCTACCGCCGCTGTTGTAGGAGCGTGTACACCCTTGAGAGCAGCCCATGCCTTTGGTCCCTTCTCTGGTTCACGCTGGAATGGCTTGATGTGACGGATTTGGCTGCTCCCCAACTCTTGCCCAAGTAGGAGATAGCCTTGTGCGCTCTTCCGTACCCACGGTCTTGTCTCCAGGTCGTTCTCGGAGCGCTTCTCCGTTCCTTCCATCACCTCCAGCAGGTCATAATGGTCAAATATGTTCTCCATATTGAAGGACCATTCAGCGAAGTTGTCACCGTTGAACTTGTCAACCCCAAACACCCTAGGCTCATCCCTAGGTGGGCCAAGACTTAGTTGCATAGGAGACATGGTGGGATCACGGGTTGGCCTTAAGCTTCGGCTTCTCCAATGCCACCAGCACCTCTGCCACCCCTTTCCTCAGGTCCAGCCATTGTCGAAACTACTTCAAGGGGCTCTGATACCACTTGTTGTAGTCACAATAGGCTTGAATGTGCCTAAAACGAAAGATAGAGTGCATAGTCGGATTTCTGCACAGCGGCTTAAACGTTCATATTGATCTGATCACAGCTTTAAATGACCTCATTCAAATTATATCTAGAGCGCCTCAATTTCACCTACACTAAGCAATTTTGATCACACGATTTCATTAAGAATTGACGACACAGCGTCAGTTTGAACGAAAAGCATTATGGCAGCCACTATAGTCTTAGAACACAAATTAGGAAGAGTTACGAGTTAGGAATGACTCCCTGCCTCTACAAACCACAAGAGCCGAGGTACAGTTATGTGGAATAGTGCCACACTATCCACAACCATGAAGGGTCTCGAAACTACCCTCCACAATAGCCTACACCAAGAGAAATGTTACACTACACATTGTACTGTAACTATTCTCACTATCTTGAAGTTTACCCTTTTGGAGAGCTTCGAAATCACTTGCATCTTGAAACCATGGCTCTGGTTCTTCAAGATAAATTATTCTTTGAGTTCTTGGAAGTCTGCTGCGCACACCTTCGACACGCCAAACGTTCCACACACGACAAAATAGAAAACCGCACACGACACGCAAACGTCGACGTGACACACGACTAGCGATAACTCGCTATTGACTCGACACACACATTCAAAATCCCGCCTCATCATTCACACACTATTGTAAACATGAAATATATATTATCTCATGCCCTCATACCATTCCATGCACACACGCATGCACGCACACGGACAACAAGCCGAATGCAAACCATAGGGTTGCACCAACAGCGCGATGAGTCGTGACGGTTGAGAATATCACGTACTAACTGGGGAAGGAAGTTGCCCAACAGATGGTTGATAGCACCACGCAGGAGAGTAAGTACTTCTTTGTTGCCTAGTGCAGGGTCGCGGAAATGCTCGAAGCAGGTTCCTGATGGTCCCAAGCCTACACCGCTGGGACATTTCCCAAGAATGTTGCGAAGGTTCTCCTGGGTTACCGAAAGTTCGAAAGTCAACTCCCCCGCGACCCATAATGGCAGGGGCAGTGATGCGTCGGGGTGTTTGGAGCGTAGGGACGAAATTGTTTTGGTTGTTGCCTGTACCAGCAGGGTCGTTTGTAGCGCAGATACTGCCTTGGACAAATTTCCTTTCCTGACGAGGCCCTCTGCCCTCGAGCACAAGCCTGTGGCGTCGGCCTGGTGTCTCATGAGTGCCTGGGCTGGTGGTATGTTGATTGCCTCCGAGTAGAGGTTGTCCCACTCCCCCAACCTAAACTTGTGCAGCATGCCCTCAATCTCTTCCCAGCGGTTGCCCAATGTGTCGCGAGGTTGGGGACGGGGTATTAGCCTCGGGAGAAATGTGAGTACGCACCAGGCACCCGGAAAATTCGGTTTTTTTGCAATCCGTAGGAGTGATGTGAGCAGGCACAGCGAGTAGTTTGTGAGAATGTCAGGCAGGAGTCTCTGGCGGCAAATTGTTGGTCACCTCGTGTGAGCTTTCTCACGTCCTAGTGTTCCGTTCCCTCCCACAGCCCCTCCATTTCTGCAAGTTCTGAGGGGGAGCGAACGTCTTGGGCCCTTGCGTCCGCCGCTGCTGCCACGGGATCACCTGTCGGGGCTGGCATTGCTTCCACATTGTGAGGAGGAACACTGGCCCGTTGAATTCGCGCTGCACGGCTGCCCACCTCCTCTTCTGCCAGGAGCGAGATGTTCTCTGAGCTCGGTGTGGGGGGGGCCATAAAGGAGGGGTCTTCTGATTCGTTGGCAGCATCACCGTTGACCTCCTCTCCCTGAGCTGTGATTGGCTCTTGCCTGCCGTGACGTTCCCGCCACCGATCAGATCTGGGCAGCTCTGGGGGGGCTCGTGCCCTTCCCCTTTGTGTTCTTCCGCCTTCCTCCGCACCGCCTCTCCGCCCACCCCTACCTGCCGGGATCCACGGCGCTGACGGCGCCACCCACCGGATTCTAACGATGCCTCGTGCCGCTCGGTGCGCGGTTGACGGCTGTGGTGCATTTGGTGCCGGCTCGCCCATTTCGCGCCGTTGGCGTCTCTCACGCCTTTGTGGCTGCTGCGACGCTGCTACGTCCCCGGCCTGCAGCGCCTCTGCCGCTCCCGATGTCGTCAGATCCTCTGGATCTTCTGGCGTCGGCTCTTGCCGGAGCCATCCCCAAAGGGGCCTAGGGAGGGCAGGTGCCACCGCTACTCTGAGCCGTCGCGGCGCTGGCTGAGGGCGGCTCTGGCCACGAGCACAACGGGTGGCGTCAGCGCCCACCTCAATACCGCTCGCCTCGCGCGCAGGCTCACCCCTACCGTCGTTCCTCTCCTCACCATCCGCGTGTTGAGGCGACGAACCTTGGTCCGATCCGACAGCAACGGCGGCAGCAGGATCGGCTGACTTGTCGCTAGCAGCAGCAGCAACGACTACCGGGGGGATCTCCCCAGCCACAGCCTCCCCCGCGGAAGGTTCCGCCTCCAGCAACTGTCGTGCCTCCCTCCGTGCCTCCTCATGTAGCAGAATGCTCGCCGCAGCATCTTGCGGTACCTCATCCTCAGCCGCCTCCTCCACATCAGTCTCCTCCAGTCCCTGCATGTGTGCACCCTCCGGCAACTGGCCCGTCTCCCCAGCCCCCCGCGGGCAGTCGCCCTGTGACGTTCCCGTGGGAAGTGTTGTCCCCCGCGGCACTAGACACTCCTTCTGCCCAAGTCCCAGAGCACCGTTGGAGTCTGTGGGAGGAGACTCCCCCTGTCAAGATGCTCCTTCGCGTCAAGCAGCACGTAATGCACTTTGGGACCTGCCTGGATCTGATGGCGACGGTGTTAGACTGGCTGCATACTTGTCTGTCGTGGTGTGAGGTGGCAGGAGTGGGGGCAGCGGTAGAGATGTTGCAGATGCTGCCCCTGATTGGGCTGGTGCCGGACTCCCCTGGAGCTGAGTTGGGGCCCGGCCCATCTGCTTTGAGGAGGCTTGCTCTTTCCGTCTTGCAGGCCCCACATGACCTCGTGCCAGTCGTCGTGTCCCCTCTACGCTCGATGGACAGGCGACTGGCATGGATTTTAGCCGAGTAGTCGCTGCCTTCCCTTTCCCCGCCGGCTTTGTCTTCGGCTTGGGTTTGGGCTTCCCCATGGTGGTGTGTTCATGCCTGGGGGTGTTCTCTTTGCCGTTTGATTCTACTGCTGCATGTTGTATCCCATATTCCTATAGTGTTTTCCCTCCCTCTGTCCTTGCCACCCAAAACGCGCGGCCGAAGGCCGCGCCGGCGCGAGCTGTTGGGTTAGGAGAGTAAACAAAACTGAGAACTGAAGAATGAGGCCAAGCAAGAGGTGCAATCTTGGAGGGACCAGCAAGCTCGGTGAACACGAGGAGAGTGGTGCAGCAGCCAAGAAGCAGCACAAGGATGAGGAGAACCCCAAGGCAGCAGCGGAGGAGGACTACGGAGAGAGCATGCGGGGCACTATTGCGAGTGCGGCATTCTCCAATCCGACTTCGGCTACGGGGGAGTGTGATTGGCTCACCTTGCATCGGCACATGGGGCATGTGGCCTTGCCCATCTTGCAGCAGCTAGTGAAGAATGAGATGGTTGCTAGAATACGTGTGAAGGGGGAGCCCGATGAGGTACTTGGCTGCTCGACGTGTATGCAAGCCAAGTTCACCCATTACCCGTTCTCTAGTTCGGAGGCAACGGCTAAGGCACCACTTGATGAGGTGGTGATGGACGTGGTGGGCCCCCTGAAGCTTGGAGCTGCTGGAGCTGAGTACTTTCTCACCATAGCGGACGTCTACACTTGCATGACTTGGGTGTACGTGCTGTCCAAGAAGAGCGACGTGGCTGAAACGGTGAAGACCAATTGGTTGCCGATGGTGGAGCGGCAACAAGACCGGCTAGTGAAGACAATTCGCACCGATCGAGGGGGAGAGTTCCTGGGCAAAGAGTTCTCATTGTGGCTGAAGAAGAATGGCATAAGGCACTCCCTTACCATGCCATACTCCCCTGCAATGAACGGCATCGCCGAGCGAGCGAACCGCACAATCACGGAGACAGCGCGCAAGTTGCTCATTGAAGCCGGGCTACCCGATTATTTCTGGCCTGATGCGGTGCGGAGTGCGTGTGTGGCCAAGAATAGAGCTTTGACTCATGTCGGAGCAGACAAATGGGTGCCCTATGTGGAGTGGATTGGAACGAAGCCAAAGGTGGATATGCTTCGGGTGTTCAGGTGCATGTGCATGGCGCTCGTGCCTAAGCATCTTCGGCACAACAAGCTCGGTGCCAAGGCGATATGGGCTGTGCACTTGGGCATGGCTCAAAACAGCAAGGGGTGGCTTCTTTGGGACCCATTCACCAAGAAATTCTTGGTGAGCAGGGACTGCAAATTCATGGAGAACCTGATGTATAAGGATTGGAAGGCGGAGAATGAGGCGAAGATAGGCGTGCGGTTTGGGGAGGTGAAGAGTTCCGGTTTGGAGCATGTGGAGCTGCCCTTGGAGCTGAGCAGCGGCAGCACCACCACAAGGCAATCTTCCCTTGTGAATGGGGGAGAGGAGGCCAAGGATGCAGAGGAAGAAGAGGAGGAGGTGCAGCAAGTGAGCGAGCGTGCACCGACACTTCCTTCTTGCACTACGAGTGCTCCACGGATCCGAGTCACCCCGCAGCAACGCCAAGGCCTTCATGTCCCTGTAGCTGAGGAGGAAGGAAGGGGCAAGAGGAGAATTCAAGCCCCTAATAGGCTGACCTATGATGCATTGGGAAAGCCAGCCAAGTCAGCTCTGGCCGGAGCGGCACTTATAGTTGGAGATGACGAAGAGAGTGACTATGACGAGTGTGCCTTCGCGTTCTTCTCTCCGGTGGAGATGCCGGGGGAACCAGCAACTCTCAAGGAGGCCTTGGAGAGTAGTGATGCTGAGGATTGGAAGAAGGCAATGGAGAGTGAGTTGAAGAACATTGAGGAGAACGGCACATGGGAATTGGTGGAGCTACCGGAGGGGCGTAAGGCGATTATGTCCAAGTGGCTCTTCAAGATCAAGTCCGAAGCCGACGGCAAGATCGAGCGCTACAAGTCTAGGCTTGTGGAAAAGGGGTACTAGCAGAAGGAGAAGGTGGAACATAAGCAGTTTTTTGCTCCTGTGGTGAAGCCGGCGACGCTGCGAACCCTACTCGCGGGAGCTACCATGAAAGATGGGTGGTGAAACAAATGGACGTGACAACCGCGTTCCTCAAAGATATTTTCTTGACGCAGCCAGAGGGGTTTGATGATGGTAGTGGCAGAGTTTTGAAGCTGAAAAAGGCCCTTTGTGGACTGAAGCAGGCCCCTAGGCAGTGGTACTTGAAGCTGCGAGACGTTTTGGAGGAGATCGGCTTCACTCCCTCAACGGCCGATCACTCATTGTTCATGCTTGGCGAGGGGGAGCAGAGGAGCTTCATGGTGGTGTACGTGGATGACATCCTCATTTTCTCACCCTCCTCTGACCTTGTGAAGGAGGTGATGCTGAAGCTTCAGGACAAGTTCAAGTGTAAGGCCCTTGGTGACATCATCTTCTACCTCGGCCTTCACATTGAACGCGATGTGGAGAAGCGGTGCATGCGGGTGCATCAACAGAAGTACCTGGAGGCATTGGCTGCCAGATTTGGGCAGATTGAAGGCCATGTGACTACACCCTTTCCCTCTGGGTTCAAGTGTGTGAAGGGACCAGAGGAGGAGAGCGTTGGTGAAGAGGAGAGGCGCCGTTTTCACTCGTTGGTGGGCAGCCTCATGTACGCGGCGGTAAACACCCGACCGGACGCTGCGTTTGCTACCGGACAGTTGGCTAGGGTTGTTCAATGCCCTAACGAGGAGCAGGTAGTAGCTAGAATGAGGGTGGCCAAGTATCTTGGCCAAACACCGACCGTTGGGCTGCAATACTCGGCAGCGGCGCAAAGGCGCCAAAAGGGCGCGGATGGTGTTGGACCCGGGCGTTTGTTCCTCACCGCATTCTCGGATGCTTCTTATGCATCGGAACCAGAGGACATGACAAGTGTTGGAGGGTTCATTTGCTGTGTTGGTGGAGGCCCAACTGCTTGGGAGAGCAAGAAGCAGGTGGATCAAGCATTGAGCTCGGTGGAGTCCGAGTACATGGCACTCTTTCGTGCCGTACGGGAGATTGTGTGGCAGTGGTGTTTGTTGGCTGAATTGGGGGAGGATCAGCAAGGACCGACCCGACTCTACTGTGACAGCCAGGGTGCCATTGCTCTTGCTAAGAACTGTGTGTTGCATGGCCTCACGAAGCACATGAGGGTGAAGTGGCATTGGAGGAGGAGCATGGTGGCCGCGGGTGAAGTTTTGATGCACTACGTGAAGACGACAAGGCAGCCAACTGACATGATGACCAAGAGGGTGGTGGAGCAGCAGCATTGGAAGTGTTGCAAGCTGGCTGGGATGGCTCTGAACTGAGAGAACCAGATCCTAAGGCCAACAATCCGAGGGGGAGTTTGTTGGTGCAACCCTACGGTTTGCATTCGGCTTGTTGTCCGTGTGCGTGCATGCGTGTGTGCATAGATTGGTATGAGAGCATGAGATAGTGAGAATAGTTACACTACAATGTGTAGTGTAACATTTCTCTTGGTGTAGGCCCTTGTGGAGGGTAGTTTCGAGACCCTTCGTGGTTGGGGACAGTGTGGCACTATTCCACACCACTGTCTTTTGGCTCGTGGGGTTTGTAGGAGCTGGGAGTCATTCCCAACTCGGAACTCTTCCTAATTTGTGTTCTAAGTCTATAGTGGCTGCCATAGTGCCGTTCGTTCAAACCAACATTGAGTCATCAATTCTTAATGAAATCGTGCAATCTAAACTACCTAGTGTAGGTGACGTCAAGACGCTCCATATCCAATTAGAAGCAAATCATTTGCAGCTGTGACCAGAACGCTATCACCGTTTGAAGCCGCTGTGCAGATATCCGACTGTGCACTCTATCTTTCATTTAAGGCACATTCAAGCCTATTGTGACTATAACATCTCTCTCTCTCTCTCTCTCTCTCTCTCTCTCTCTCTCTCTCTCTCTCTCTCTCTCTCTCTCTCTCTAATGGTCCTTGTATTGATATAGCAGCAGAGTACAAGCATGCAAGTCATAGGTAACAACTTAGCAAGGCACAAGGAGTCACAAGACCTCCCTACAATTCCACAAAGGGCTCAATGACTGCAAAGCAGTCCCCTAGGTGTAACTCATCCCCGATCCCCCCCACAGGCGGGTTCTCCACTGCCGCTGCCTCCCCTAGTTTGAGCAGGAGACCCACGGACTGGGCCCTTTGTAGGGCCACAGACCAGCGTTGCCTGAACTGATGCAGGAACTTAGCAGCGTAGAATGACTTGGAGTCGGCGTTGAAGTGGCGCCGAGCTGCAGTGTCCGCCACTAGCTTCAGGAAGACTGGCACCTCAGCACAGGGGCAGCCGTAGGTATCCACCGCTAGAGGAAAGAAATTCACCGACTCTGGTCGGGCAGCATAGTGCTTGACCTTCTTGTCAGCCTGCTCCCGCGCCGCCCAGCCCCTGCCCTTCTGTGCCTCCGGGTCCCTAGTGCTAATGGGATCTGTGATGGTGACGTCGCACACGTAGACAGCGCCGCTGCTTCTGTCTGTCATCGTAAAGTCCGCGGTCTGTTCCTCAATGGGGCAGTATGCCGAGGTCTCGCTATGGACGATGAACCCTGCGTCTTGGGCCATGCTAATGCAAGCATCCCGCAGCTCGTTGTGGGTGTTGATACGGTGCTTGTCCGTGCCGCAACGGAGAAGGTGGTTAGGGAGGCGGGGGTCTGGGATAGCGGTATGGTCAGAGCAGTCGCAGTTTTTAGGCGTGGAGAAAGGAAGGGCCAGCCGGAAGCGCACGGCATTGGAGAAGTGAACGGGCCCTATCCTCCTGTTCGCCGCAATGGGGATGGCTGTCAACCAGTCCCCGGTCCCGTAACCGGTCAGCGAAAACATCCGCTGCGTGTGTCCGCTCAGGGGGTTCAGCTCCATATGCCGTGTCTCCTGAACCTGCACGGCGTATCTGCTCCCGTGCACCTGTAAAGCTAGTGCATGTTGTAGTCTCACATCCGACCGCTTCAGCCGTTCCTTCTCCAGGATTTCTCGTGCATCCAGGGGTAACGCGGCTTCGCACTCAGTGAGCCACTCGTGAAGGGGAGTGGTGACGTCTGCAGGCAGCAGCATGTGATCCCGGGCCCGCGTCAGCACGCCGCGAGGGGCACACTCCAGTGATGCCAGAAAAGGCGCGGCCTGTGTGAAGCTCGCGGTGTAGCCGTACACCCCTTCGATTAAGGGGTCTGTAATGCCGATTCCCCCTAGCGACGGCGGCAGGGAAGCTTGCGTCCAAACGCGAGATTGCTCAGCGCGGTGGGTTGGAACGCGGATGCCACAAGCGGTCAGTAGCGTCGTAAGCAAATCCATCCCCCACTGGCTCCAGGTATCGCACGGAAGTAATCGTAGCGGCGTCGTCCTGGTGAGATATGCCACCCGCCTCGAGATACAGCGGGTGAGCAGCAGTGACGCGACCTGGGGATCGGCTTTCTCCAGGAGTGGTAATGGTTTTGCCATCTCCCGCAGCTGTCCCGACAGGAACTGCGCTGCCCCACGGTCGGGGCCTACGAAACTCCCCAGCAGCTGCACGCCGTCCTGGGAAAAAGGAACTCCCGGCGGTAGTTGATCAATCTCTGCTACTATTCTACTCCAGGCTGCACATTTACATGGGTTGTGTGCCAGCCCCAGTTGTGTCAAGTTGGAAGTGAAGTGGTTGAATGCTGCTACAGTGTCAGCCGCGTTCCCAAGGAGCGTGACATCATCTGCGTAGGCCAGACAAAGCACGTCTGGGTGTGTGGTGGCGGTGTCGCGAAGTGTGGCGTGAATCCCAGCCGCGAACAGTAACGGACCCAATGGATCTCCCTGGCGAACTCTGCGTTCACTTCGCAGGGGTTCGGAGTTGAAATTGACGTCTAGAAGCAGCTGCGATGGGTTACCGTAGGTTAGTTTCACGAACGGCAGTAGTGACGAGAGGGCGGGGTCTTGTAACGCTGTGGCGATGGCTTGTCGCGAAACGCTGTTGAACGCGTTTGCAATGTCCGCTTGCAGTACCATGCTGGTGGGGTGAACGTCCAGGTAGGCTCTGGCCGCGTGGATTACTGTTTCGGCTCCACCTAGCACTGCCACGCCGTACTGTAGAGGCAAGAAGAAATCGCGGGCAGCTTCTCCCATTGCTGACAGGCAGCCAGCCTCGTCAAGCATTCGCTTATCGCTATTGGCTGAGCCCCTCCCCCAGGTTTGGCCAAGGCGATGAGTCGAGACGCGGTGAGGAGGTTTGCCACCGAGGCTGGCAAATTTCCTCCTAGGATGGTGTTTACTAAGGCGTGCAGGTGGGTGCTGACCAGTGCATTTGTGATTGCCGCGTCGCGCAGGTGCTCAAATGTCATGCCTGACGGCCCGGCTCCAACTCCATTTTCGCATCTACCCAGCATCTTAACAAAGTCAGCGTGCGGGATTGAAAGCGTTGACCCTTGAGGCGTGGGCCATGTCACCTCCCCGGGTTCAGCAGGCGGATGCTTCAAGCGCAGCTCCTCCAGGATTTCGGGGCTCGGGGTACAGACGGGTGTTGACTCCAGGGCCAGCACGGCCTGTCGCAGGCTGCCACGTTTCGCCAGGCCTTCGGCTCGGCTGATCACACCAGCTGCGTCGGGCTGATGTCGAGGCGGTGGAGGCGCGTTGACTGCGTCCGCCGCGTCCTGATACAGCTGCTCCCATTCGCCACGCTGGAAGGCTCGGAGTCGGGTCTTGATTTCCGGCCAATTCGGTCGTCGTGGCGAGGTTTGGCGAAGTGTTAGGCGCGGGAGAAACAACAGCAGGCGCCAACCTGTCTCTGACTCGGGGTTTCGTGAGAGGTGCAGTAACGGCGTCAGTAACACCAGCGAGAACAGCTGACACAAGTTTGGCGGTAAACGCCGCGACAGTGGAGGCGGACGACTGTCGCATAGTGCTGCAATATCCCAATTCGTAATGCCTGCGAACAGGTCTGTCCGCTTCGCGAGCTCGTCTGGTGAAAAGTAGCGCGGGAGTGATGCTGATGGGCGTGCCGTGGTACAGGCATTGGTGGTTCGATTACTCCCGGCGCGACTCGGTCTTAATGGGGGGATTGAGGTTGGATTTGCGCCCGTCCGATCGACATCGGACGATGGTTGAGCCATCTGTGGCACTTGCAAGTCCGTCTACTGCACTACCTCTTCCCTTCTCCTTGGTCCTTCTCTCGCCATGCCTTCCCCCTCCGTCTCCTCGTTCTCGCTCTCGGGAAGGGCTTCTTCCCTATAAGATGGGTCGTCCCGCTCGTCTTCGTTATTAGTTTCCTCCACGGTGTTTAAAGCCCTTCTCGCCGCCACCTGATACCCATTCTCTGGTCCTCCGCCCGTTCCGCTTACGGTTTCTCTCCTCGCCCCACGGCTTCCCTGCTCTCGAGATGGTGATTGCCGGAGCACCTAAGCCATCGCCAGGGCTTGCTGCCGCCTGGTCGGGTGTGGTCGCCAGGCCTCCGGCGGGGCTCGAAAGGGCGACCATGGCGACGGAGCCCCCTCTACCGCCGGCTCCGAATCAGGTGACAGCAGTCTCTGAAAAGACTCCTCCCCACGCACCCGCGGCTCCCCTTGCCGGGGCAGAGGCTGGCCCGACCGCTCCCGCTGCTGTTCCGTCTGCTCCGCCTGCGTCACCAGGCTCCCTGGCTCCCCTTGTCGAGCCGTCGGCGTCTGCCCCTGCTGGGGGTGTTGCTGAACCACCTGCACCTGTCCCTGGCGCCCGTGTTGCGCCGAACGCTTCTGCCCCCTGCCTGCCTGCGCAGGCCTCTGCTTCATCACCAAAGGTGGCGTCCGCCACCACTGGCGAACCGGCTCCGTCGGTTGTGCCTGCGGCGGTGGGTCTGTCCACTCCCGCTATGACGGCGGTGGTTCCTGCAGGTTAACCGTCACGCCCTCCGTCGCCTGACCGTCGCTCGTCGCGGCCCCATTCCCCCGCTCCCCACCAGGACCGCAAATCATCTCGTCACCGGCGTGAGTCTCCACGGCGGTACCAGCAACAGTCGCGCTGGCCTGCTCACCCCGGGGGTCAAGGGGATTGGAGGGGTCCCCGTGCTCGTGGCGGGGGTGGGGGCTATCGCCCGCCCGTGACGATGGCGGATCTTGAGCGGGAAGTGTCGAGGGCGGTTCGGGAGGAGAGGGCGGCGCAGAGCCAGAGCAGTTCGCTGCGCGCCTTGCCAGCCCGCGAGGCTCCCCGTCCGGCTGCGCTCCCCCCAAACCCGTAGCCTGTTGCTGCGCCTCCCCCCCAAATCCAAGCACTGCCAGCTCCTTCTCCCGCTGTATCGGCGCCTGCTCCCGGCTCTCGTCTCCATCTGCCGCCGGTTCCGCCTGTTGTGGGAGTGGAATTTGTGGCCGCAGGTGGCGGCTCGTTGGCGGCTCCGTTCGCTCTCCCTACTGATGCTGATGAGCCGCTCCAGTTCCTGGCGGAGGCACTCCAGCCTCCACAGACCCGTGTTCCCGAGGCGACTCTCGGACAGCTACACCGCCTCGCTGACAGTCTCCACGCTCTGCTGCTGATTCAGGTGCTGGCCCACTTGTCTCTCCCTGTGATCCCTCCTGAGACCTCTTGTGGCCGCCAGCGTGACTCGTGCCTGGACGCGGCGGACCAGCTCGCGGTGCTGCTGGCGCCCGTGCTGGCTGCGCCCGTGGAGGGTGGCGCTGCTGCTGCGGGACAGCTTGACGAAGCCGTCCGGGGCTTGAGGCGGCACTTGCGCGCAGGACCTGGAGCCGCGGCGATCGGCGCAAGCACGCTTGTGGTCCGGGAGCTGTGGCGCTCCCTGACGGGCGTTCTTCACGCCCTTGGAGCACACGGCATGTAGACGCGGGCTCCGGTTGCCCCATTGGTGCCTTGCCTGTCAAGTTGCTTATTGAAACTGCCATTGCGTGTATGTCCGTGCTTAGTATCTGTTGCGTGTGTTTGTTCTTGGCGCCCCTCACGCGCGGCCGAAGGCCGCGCTGTCGAGCGTCGGCCGCCGAAGGCGGCCGGCGCGAGCCGCTCGGTTAGGGGAGCAAAATGAACCCAGAATTGAATAATGAGGCTCTAGGACAAGGTCCTAGGGCCTTTATACTAGGCTGGAGAGGGCTGGAGAGGCTAAGGACTAGGCCTCTCTCTCTCTCTCTCTCTCTCTCTCTCTCTCTCTCTCTCTCTCTCTCTCTCTCTCTCTCTCTCTCGCTCTCTCTCGAAGAGCCGCTCGGCTAGGAGAGCAAATGAACACAGAACTGAATAACGAGGCCAAGCAAGAGGATCTAGGGCTAATATACTAGCTAGGAGAGGGTTTGAGAGGCTAAGGACTAGGTCCAGTGCCCCTCTCTCTCTCTCTCTCTCTCGCTCTCTCTCTCTCTCTCTCTCTCTCTCTCTCTCTCTCTCTCTCTCTCTCCCCCCATAGCCGTTGGTTTAGGAGAGTTAACACAACTGAGAAATGAAGAATGAGGCCAAGAAAGAGGATCTAGGGCTAATATACTAGCTAGGAGAGGGTCTGAGAGGCTAAGGACTAGGTCCAGTGCCTCTCTCTCTCTCTCTCTCTCTCTCTCTCTCTCTCTCTCTCTCTCTCTCTCTCTCTCTCTCTCTCTCTCTCTCTCTCTCTCTCTCTCGCTCTCTCCATAGCCATTGGGTGAAGAGAGTAAACACAACTGAGAACTGAAGAACGAGGCCAAGAAAGAGGATCTAGGGCTAATATACTATCTAGGAGAGGGTCTAAGAGGCGAAGGACTAGGTCTAGTGCCTCTCTCTCTCTCTCTAATGGTCTGTATATTGATAGTGTTGGAAGGTACAGACATGCAAGATATGGAATGCGAGATCTAGCTACCCAAACAAACTGACAAGACCGGTCAGTCCCACAACTACCACGCCACCGCCCTTTCTAGAGCTCCAGAAATGGCTCAACTACCGCGAAGCAATCCCCAAGGTGCAGCTCCTCCCCTATGCCTCCCACAGGTGGGTTTTCTGCCGCCGCTGCCTCGCCTAACTTTAGGAGGAGTCCCACGGATTGCGCTCTCTGTAAGGCCACCGACCACCATTGCCTGAATTGGTGCAGAAACATGGCGGCGTAGTAGGATTTTGAATCAGCATTGAAGTGGCGCCGAGCCGCTGTGTCTGCTAGGAGCTTGAGGAAGACAGGTACCTCAGCGCAAGGACAGCCGAAGGTGTCGACCGCTAGGGGGAAGAAGCCAACCGTCTCGGGGCGGTTGGCGTAATGCTTGATTTTCTTGTCGGCCAGTTCCCGGGCCGCCCATCCCCTGCCCTTCTGTGCTTCCGGGTCCCTAGTGCTGATAGGGTCAGTGACGGTAACGTCGCAGATGTAAACCGCCCCACTGCTTCTATTGGTCATGGTGAAGTCGGCAATTTGCTCCTCGATAGGGCAGTAGGCCACTGACTCCCTGTGTACGATAAACCTTGCGTCCTGCGCCATGCTAACGCAGGCATCTCGCAGCTCGTTGTGCGTGTTCATGCGATGCTTGCCTGTGCCGCAGCGGAGCAGGTGGTTCGGGAGGCGGGGGTCAGTGATAGCCGTGTGTTCCGTGCAATCACAGTTTTTGGGAGTGGAAAACGGTAGGCCAAGCCAGAAGCGTACAGCGTTGGCGAAGTGCACTGGCCCTATCCGCCTTGTTGAGTGATGCTACCATTCGCATTCACGTCTGTCTGCCTCCCATCATATGTTCGCGCGTTGCATGCGTGTTGTGAGTGTGTGCAAGAATTTGTGTTTTGTGCGGTTTGGTTTTTCTGAGTGTGTGTGTGAATGTTATTTGGCTTGAGCAGATATCTGAAGTGACTCCTCTGCTCAAGAGCTTTCCGAGGAACCAAGTATCGCTTCAATCGGAGCACGAACTAGAAAGTTACGAACGTTGGAGTTCGTATGCTTTTGATATTTGGTTGTGGTGACTATGGGAAGTTGTGGGGTTGACTCAATATGGGGTACAGACTTTTGGGGGTTGGGAAATTCGTCTTTTCTACTGTAGTTGCTGCCAAATGGTTGGGAGAAACCAAACCAGGTTGGCAAGTGTGGCCAAGTTGGGTTGAGGTGGATTGTGGAGGTTGGGATAGTGACAAAGGTCAAAGTTGGGTTGCCTATGGGGAAGGGAATTGTATGGCATGGGGTTTCCTTGGTTGGGGACTCTCTTGGGACCTTCCCTCTCGTCCTCCTCATCCCCTCCGACCTGGTTCTATTGCTACTCTAACTTTCTTGTGTGAACTTGTGAGATCATTGTGATTGAGTTACGTTTTCTATGGCAGCATACCCCCTAGTGCGCCGAAGTTCATAACTCGAGTTATACTCCATATTCTGATACTATTCAAATTGGGAAAGATAGCCACGGTCCAGGGCTACAACATACTCGAGTTTGAAAGAATTCTAACAGTGGACCTTTCGTCGACGACGTTTCTTGTGACGATGACTTTTCTGTCCAGAATTGTAGTTGACGATTTTGAGATATTTCAGCCCCTAATCTTCATAGACTCCGTCCTTAATCTATAACAAGTGGTATCAGAGCTGATTAAGGACCTTGTGGGGAGTCTACTGAAGTGTGAAGACCCTCCTAGACCCACCATGGCCTGTGGGCGTGCCTAAGTGGAGTTTTGGAGGTTGGATGTGACTTCCGCTAAGGGGAAACTCTGCCGAAATTTCGTTGGCGCTGACACTTGTGAAGATTGTGTGGATCTACATTGTGACCAGCAAAAGGGGGAGCTGAAACCTCTGATTGGGAGCAGAGGAGATGAATCAAGGGAGTGGAGATGCAGCTGAGAAGAGGAGTGAGCCGCCACCATCCAAGATTGAAGCTTTGGATGGCTCCAACTATGAGGAATGGAGCGGGCGGATGCGGAGCGCCTTCAAGCGCTACAAGCTGCTGAAAATTGCAATGGGAGAGGAAAAGATGCCGGGGGAAGGAGATGCCCGCGATCGGTGGATTGAGAAGAGCGCGGTGCTGTACGACCTCATCCTCCAATCGGTCAACAACGACATGTTCCAGCACATCAAGGATTTGGTGGAGTTGGATGATTCCGGACCGAAGGCATGGAAGCTACTACGCGACGTGATTCAGCCCAACACGCTGCCGATGGTGATTGTGTTGGAGAAGGAGTTGGCTGCCCTCTCCATGAAACCGGGAGATGATGTGAAACCGGTCCTTGACAAGATCAAGGACACCTATGCGAGGATGGCAGCGGCGGGCAGCGAAGTGTCGCAGATGCAACAGTGCACCAAGATCATCTCGGTGCTCGACAACTCGTGGGACAACCTCATCCCCACCCTCAACGTTCAGCAGGACAAATGGACGCCTGAGTGGCTACGGCAGCAGATTCTGCAGGAGGACTTCCGCAGACGCCACACGGGAGGTGGTGCTGCCAACAAAACTGCTGAGGGGTATGGAGCTGCAGGAGGCAGCAGAGGAAGAGGGGGAGGGAGAGGCCGAGGCCGTGGGAGAGGCTTTGGCAGAGGGAGAGGCCGAGGTGACTACAATGAGGGGCATGGGAGCTCTGGTGGCAGGGGGAGCACCCGAATGGAGGGTGCGTGCTGGTACTGCAAGAAGGCTGGACACCCGTGGTTCAAGTGTTTCAGCCGGCCTGAGGGATGGGCCCCTCCAGGCATGAAGCCGCCAAGTGGTGAACGTGCACGCGGTGGCGCTGTGCAAGGTTCAGGTGCACAAGGTGATGGTGCACAAGGTAAAGCCCACCCTGGGATGTTCCTCATGGTTGAGGATGTGCAAGGGAGTGGGGGTGATGTGGGTTCAGTTGGGAAGGTTGTGATGCACCCCCTCACTCACTGGGTGATCGATTCAGGTTGCACGAGTCATATGACCCCACGGGCAGATTTGCTTGATGAGGTAAAACCTCCTGGGAAGATCAAGTTTGTGGCTGCCGCTTCAGGTGCTTTGCTCCCTGTGATTGGTGTTGGGAATGCCAAGGTGATGGGAGCCAATGGAGAGCTTGTGGGGCTTGGGAATGTGCTGTTGGTTGAAGGTTTGTCCGCTAACCTTCTTTCTGTGCGCCGGCTGCAGAAGAGCAAGGCTGAAGTTACCTTCGGCCCAACCAGCTGCCGTGCAAAGCTTGGGAAGTTGCTGCTGTGGAACTTGGAGGAGAAGAGCAGCTGCATCAAGGACTTGTGGCAGCTGCCCATCATCCCTTGGAAGGGGAAACCACCAGCAACGGCAAAGGCAGCGGCAGCGGCTAAAGCAACTGCGGGAGGAGAGGAGACTGCACCAACTGCTGGGGCCCTGGATGCAGTCAAGAAGGTGCAGCAGCCACAACAGCCACATGGTGAGGTGCTTGCTGGTGTGGATGCGACAGCTGCATGGGCAAAGGCTTCATCTGGGAGTGGTGAGGCTGATTGGGAGACGTGGCATGAGAGGCTGTGCCATGTGAACATTCCTATGCTGCAGAAGTTGGTAAAGGATGGGTGCTTGAAGGGGCTGGAGGTGAAGGGGGGAGCAAAGGAGATTGGGAGCTGCCCTACCTGCCTTGAGACCAAATTCACGAAGTTTCCCTTCAGCAGCAGCACAGGACCAGCCAAGGCACCACTTGAACTAGTGCACATGGATGTGGTGGGCCCCACGAGGGCCCTTTCTCTCTCGGGCAGCCGCTACTTCTTGACGATTGTGGACGACCACACGCGTGCGGTGTGGGTGTACCCTCTCAAGACTAAGGGGGAGGTGGCAGCGGCTGTTCTTAAGGAGTGGATGCCGAGAGCACAAAGGGAAAGCGGACACAAGGTGAAGGTGATCCGCACTGACAACGGAGGAGAGTTCATCGGCGCTGATTTTGAGAAGGAGCTGAAGCGGAAGGGGATCCAGCATCAGCTCACAGTGCCTTACAACCCTCAGCAGAATG